CTTTACTCGTAAAATATTTTAAATTTTGAATGTTTTCGTCCAAGATTTCGTGTGAACGATCGGCACCAACTTTACCATAAAGCCTAGTTCACATATAGTTGTAATTGTTGTAATTCGATCGGTGATGAACGTTTGCAGCAATTACAACTATAAGTAAACGCGTTGTCATTGTTGTAATTGTTGTAATTTAATCGCAGACAAATCGGGAGCTGTTCTAGAAGTTGAACTTGTCCAACTCTTACAACATTTACAACATAAGAAATTTACACGTGAACGATTATCGGCGATGGCAGTTCATCTTTACTTTCGAATTCTTGTACGATAAATGATCAAATTTGATACTAGTAAGTATCACCTGAATTACAACAACTACAACTATTTATGAATAGGTAGTGTTGTAAATCATTTGTATTGTATAAAATCAGTTTGAATCGAATGTATAAAATCATTTGAAATGTATGAAATCAGTTGGAATGTATCAAATCAGTTGGAGTGTATCGAATCAGTTGGAATGTATCAAATCAGTTGGAAGGTATCGCTGATGAAATTACAGCAATTACAATTGTATGCGAAGTACGTTTAAACAGGCGATGACGAAATTGTCTGTACTGACTCATGCTCTAACTACACCTATGCGCGTTTAATGTCATATGCTATATCTTGCCAAAAGTTTTTTTTGCTCGAATTTGTACTCACAAAGGCAAGTGGGCTAAACAGACAAGTATTTTAGTAGAATCGTCAAATTTTACTCTAAATCAAGATGAATTTGTCGTTATATCTTCCCGAAATAATCTTTTGCTGTAGATGCAAATTTTGTATTGTTATGTGTATGTATACTTTCGTATTTACTTATCTGATGAGATATTGTGTAAATGTGTACGTAATATTAGTCATTGAAAATAAAGACTTTATAACACTTTGTAAAATAGGTATTTTTATACAATACGTACATTGTTAGTCACGCACTCATTACAGCAAATGACGTTTTTTGCGTCATTGTTTCAATATCTCTTTGTATAGAGAGTTTTGTAATAACGTCATCCTTGTTTGAACGGCGGAAAACGTCTATGTATGTTAAAGTTCCAAATATTTTTGCCGACAAAATTTGTTTTAAATCATAAGCGGACTCAGCGTTCGGCAAAATAAAGTTATATAGCTCAATTCGATTTTATATTCGAAAAATACGTTCAAAAACACTATTGGTTCGGAATTTCTAATGAATATAAGTTTACCAATGCACTTGCATCTAAAATGTTTGTAAACTTGTAAATATATTGTAAAAGGAGCAGCAGTAATTTATTTTTTGACGTACCCGGTCCGGCACTGTTTTTATTAATAGCAAGCTAACTTGATTAGATCTTATGACGCATATTGGCTTATGTTAGAGTTACTGCAAATTAATTATCATTCAGTATTGCATGAGATCAGAGCTCCGCCCTACTGTGAGATAATTTTTCAGTTTTTTGTAAGATTTTAAATTCATGTGCTCCATTTTATTGTTTTAAAAAGTATTCGCTGAAGAAATCATTACATTTACCAATATATAAACTGCCGATAATTTTACAACAACTGTAGTTCTGACTCACCCATTGCTTTTCTTTTTCCAATATGAGCGAGCGAACGATTTCTCACAATAATTTCGATTTTCTTTGGTTTGCTATTTTTGACAGTCTTCAGCTGTTCTTGTATGTGCAGCCGAGTACTAAGTATGAATGAATCTCAAGCGTCGGTTCTATTTATTTGCTCTACTTTTGCTACCTGGAATCTTCCAGTTTGTTCGAAAGGAGTGAAAGTTCTTCCTTGCCTCCGAAATGCGCTGTCAGAATAAGGATGATGTGTTTTTGTGTGCTAACCGCAAATCAGTTTCGACGGAAATTTTCATAATGTTTTTGAAAGCATTCAGTCCAAAACATAAAATCTTTTCGAAAAACATGTGTGGCTACCTGATTTTTTTCATTACAGAAATACTTTATTCACTCCAGCTTCATTCACAGTATGTTCATGTAATTTGTTACATTTTTAATTTCTAAATAGAGTTTGGTGGTATAGTGGTTAGTGGTGTATAGTACCTGGTGTTATTACTATGGGGAAAGGCATTGTGTCTATATAAAGAAATCTGTCTGTGCAAATATCTTTATTTTATTTTAAAACCCTTTCATTCTTAACTAGTAATCATGTGAAAATGCCGTGGCAAGTCAAGTAAAATTTACCATTAGCTCTAAATAGTCTTTTAAAAGACGGTTCGTTTTGTTGTAATCATACATTATTTTATGATGTAGCTACTAATCTGTTTTTCAGTGGATTCGATAATTATGTTAAAATCTTGGAGTACATATGTTTGGTGTACAACATTATATCATACATTATCATACATGATATGCGCTAGGCAAGTTAATTGAGGTTATCTTTAGTAACGTTTTAGTTAGTATTGTGACGTTAACTAAACAATGAAAATGGTTGCTTATGTGCATGTAATTATTTATCATAACAGTTCGGTTTCGCATTGTGGTTTTACTATTGTGGTCAGTTTCGAATTATTTTTTGCTAAGTAACGTGAATGTGAACTGAAAACTAGAATTTTCATGCACAATATCGAAAATGTGATTGTTAAATGAAAGCGATTTAGCTTGATGTTTTGCCAATAAGTTTGAAGAATTCTCCATGCAAACAATCGAGGTTCAAAACATTTTACTTAAATCTTTAACTAACTTTGGAGTAATTCCTCAGTCAATGATACCTGAAACTAAATTACTTTTAATGGAAATTTAGGTGTAATATGACGGGGGCGGATTTAGGGTGATGGGCGAAGCGGCGGCGCGCTTCCCCTTGCCGGAAAAATACCCAACAAAGAAATATATGATGTAGAATAAAATTGTTATTAAGGAATGTGTTAGTTTGCTTTGAGATTGAGGAAGTAATTTTCTATTGCTAACATCTCTATGTTCTCAAAGTACTACAGTCATATCGTTCGGTGCATAAATGTTTAGATTTGAAGTTTTAATGTCAATTTAATTTCATCGATGTTGTAGGTAAAATAGATCTTAAAATTTTAATGTCAAGCACGTAGAGATTTTCAGCGAATTACGCAATGTGTTAAAATAAAATGTGTTAAATTAATCTCTTGTGAAAAATTCATCGAATGTACAAACATCAAGTGTGTTAACCATAAAGTCACTTATTACAGGTGAAATTGATAAGTTTTAACTTATTGGATTGTTCTTCTACTTTTCCTCATTTCTTATTAGTTATATTTCTAAATAAATTGTTTGATAAATTTTTCCTGTTTCTTTCGACTTTGTTACGGAAATGTGACACTTGACTTAAACTTTTCCTAACTACTCTGGCAATTGTTATATAACTTTCATATTACGTATATAATGCGCATTCTAATTAGTTGCCTTGATATTTTGCCAAATGCCATGCGCATAATGTATACTACCCACGTATATTTGATGTTTTCAAGGACATCTAAATAAACAAAAAGTCTTGCATTAAAGAAATATATATCCATCAAAACACAAGAATTAAAATTGATGTCATTTGACAAAGTCGTCGCTATCAACGAAATTAGTTGATGCTGTAGTTCTCAATATAAATATTAGAGCCCAACAAATAATTTTAAACATAGTCATAAACAATTTGGTTTTATGAAATTTATTAAAAGAGTGACGTTTCGTCTTTACTCAAGACATCTTCAGACTAATTAGGTGTCTTGAGTAAAATGTCTTGACTAATTAGGTGTCTTCAGACTAACTAGATGTCTTGAGTAAAGACGAAACGTCACTCTTTTAATAACTTTCATAAAACCAAAGTTTAAAATTATTTGTATTTATATTGAGAATCCGTTTCCTGCCTGGCACTTCATTGGCAACAATATTGATGCTGTAATATTTATTTAAGTAGTACATTAAACGAGTTTTTGGACGTACGCACTGTACGTAATTAATATTCTCCACGGAGGCGATAATGCAATTAAAATAAGTTAGGAAAAACACGGCAATTTTATGACCTGTGACGTAAGTGGTACGTTGCAAGCTGACGATTTCAAGCTTGTCAATTGTTTATACATCATCGGCTGCCTAGAAATCACTTAACGCTTCTTTTAGAATCGATTTATCCAAATATTTTCCTCGATTCACAGCTGTAGGCAATGTTTGTCATCACGTGTGCGATAGTCATTGATATCGCGTGTCTTCTACGTATGTATTGGTCTTAACAGGCTAATATTTTCACAATGTCGGCAAGTTTCACCAAAAAAATGACAGTTCACTAACACAAAACAGTAATAAAGTGAATGGTTGAACCCTGGGAGTATCGTAACATGTTTGTGGATGAAGATCGTCCAGGTTAGTAGAGTCCTGAGAAGGACTGTTGGTATTGATGTAGACTGACGTTTCGACAACCTTGGCGGTACTTATCTTCAGAGTCAACTTAACTCTGACTGACGTCAGCTTTTTATAATAAGCATGACAGACGTAGCTATGATTTTCAACACGGCCATCGCGAAAGTAATGGTAAGGGTGATTACTGTCGACGTTTCGTCTTCAACTTCAGCCGTTTTAAATTTAGAGCTAAGCTGCTAAGCCACGAGAAGGCTTTTGAGTTTTCCAATTTCTACAATTATACTTCATCATATAGCGAGGAGGGAAACGTATGAAATTTTTTGCAGACATTTTATCAGAGAATTTTTCACTCTTACTGAATTTTACGTTGTTGTTACATAATTTGTAATACATTGCTATTTGCGACTAAATGTACTGAAACTAACCAATAACAGTTGAGTGTCATTTCTTGCTCCATGACGATATGTGCTATGTGCAACTGTTAAATTGTTAATTACTTATATTACTAACTCGTCGCCCGTGCTGACTCATCATCTCTGCTTTCTATGGCACATCTCTTCCACCGAATCAAAAAATAATTTGCATCATCTATGTAAATTTATTTCATAGATACTTACTTCAGAATATTTAATCAACATTTCGTAATGATTATTTACAGTAATCGAGAACAGTGTTCAAGAGTTGGTCTATGCAGTTTGTCGTCAAATTTACATTTGTCCTGCATAACATTTGGGAAGTTAATGCCAGGAGGGTTTGTTTCAGTTGTGAAGGTAACTTTTTATTACATACATCCTTTAAATAGACGGTAATTTGGTCATGTGAAAGAAATTTTGTACGTGATTTGAAAATGCTTTATATACGCTTAGGTACATAGTAAATTGGACGGCTATCTCTATGCGATCAAAAGAATTTATTTGAATCAGACAAGTGTTCTGTTAAATCGCAAAATTGCTCGAGAAGAGAAGTTCCTTTCTAGATTGAATCATGAAAATATTGTAAGGTAAAAAGAAATTTACTATCCAAAATAAATCAAAATTTTATAACATAAGGATTGAAAGCGAGGTTCAATTTAGAGGATACAAATTGCTTGGCTTGTTAAAAGTTATCTTTGTAAAAACTATTATAAAAAAGTAGATAATCCCTTTTTTTCATGAAGCCCATGGATGCTTTTATTCATGATGAGAAAGTTATATTTTAAGAGGAGGCTCTCGCTCGTCACGAGAGAGTCATGAGAAAGTTACATTGTAAAAGGTAACATGTAAAAAACGTATAAACATGCTTAGAGTTGGTTTAAATTCTAAGTCAAAGAGGCAGAAGTATTTTGAACCTTTGCAGTATCCTTGAATGTTCTAGTTTCTTTTATGAGATAAGCCAAATATAAAATTCAAAAGAAAAAACCACGTATTCAGTCCATGCTTTCCGATACCTTCTTAAGCGTAAGGCACTAGAACGCTGCATGTTAACGTTTCGGTGGAGATTTCAGCCCCTCGCTATCCTACATGGGGATGCAAATACGTAAAAAGCTTCCGCCCATCAGACCCCGAGATCATTTGCGATAGGCCTTTCTCGGGGTACGCAGGAATAGTGTAGAAATACCTTCGCGCCTGTGCAGATCCTATCTTGTAAAATATTGAAGTTACGACGCATGTTTGAGAGTCACTTATCAGTGTTGAAACAGGTAAGTTTTAATTGATTGGATTGTTCTTGTACTTTTTCTTCATTCGTTTTTTGTTGCATTCGAAATAAATATTTTAATAAGTTTTTTCCTATTTCTTTCAACTTATGTAACGTTACAACGCAACAAATAAAACTATACTTGAAAGGTCAAATTATGCCATGCATATTAGAGTTACATCAATTACTATATGTGTATGCTAAGAAGCAGCCATTAGTGATTTTTGGCCTTCATAAATTTAAGCATGTTCATAATCTTATTCCGAGATTATTTTCCACTCCTAGATGTTTCATCATGGTTTCATTTCAGATTTTGTTGTTTGAACGAAATATCTTATTTCCAAACGTTTAATTCCAAATATTAATGACTTCATCTCTATCAGCGGTTGCGATGCACCATTCATTGCCATCGTCATGCAGAGCAATTGTCGTAAGACCTTTTATGTGAGGAGTTGTTCTGTATGTGAAATAAAATACATTTCTGAGGTAGGGTCGACTTTTGCATTTTTTTATATTAATATTGATAAGTTTAGTAACTTTTTTTGCGATGTAAGAAAGGATCAAGTCGTATTAACAACAGCATGTAGAAAATCCTACTCGATACTAAAATTATTTTTAAAAATTACTGCCTTTAAGCCTGGGCCATACTATCGTCTATATTGACGAAAACGAAAACGAAACAAAAATTCGTGCACGAAATGCATGCCAGAAACGACGAAAAATTACAAGCATGTTTGCAAAGCCAAAACTTTTTTGGCCAATAAGCAAGCGGCATTTTTGACGGATTAGAAAAAATGGCGATCTCTAAAAGAAAAAGATTACTTCTTCTTAAGAAAAAGTTACTGCTTTTAAAGTTGAAAACAAGCAACAGCAAACGTCGATACTGGATTCATCCAATTAATAAACGATGTGATCGTCTTGGACTATTTAACATCTTGATTAAAGAATTACGAGAGCCGAATAATGAAAATAGACACATAAAATACTTGCGAATGACGACGACCAATTTTGACTACATTTTGGATTTAATTAGACCTCACATCACTAAAGTTGGCACACATCTTAGAAAGTCTATTAGACCTGATTTATCAAAACCTCTTGCCACTCCGCCATGTTTGAGTACAAAGTCTGATATTATTAGCCAATAGTATGCGTTTTCGTTAACGAAAAAGGTCAAACGTTCAACTCTTCTAATATGCACGAAAACGAAATTTTCGTCGAGTTTTCGTTCAAAATTTTGGTTGCGGCAGTTTTCGTTCTGATTTTCGTCGATATGGACGATAGTGTGGCCTAGGCTTTACTCACCAATACACTTTTCAGTAATTTTTCATGCTCTCTCTATATATAGGAGTGCATGTCTCAAATTCATCAAAAGTGAAGGAAAGTGAAAACGTAGCGTAATCAAAGCAATTCTTGGGTTGCAAGCTACGTCATAGTCGCCATGTTGAATGATTTTAACAAAGGATTTTCCTTATTTACAATGCTAATTTCATCCAACATCGCCAGCATTCCATTGCTCTCTTACTCTCAGGAGGATGGTTGCAACCCACCAATAAGCAAACAGTAACAGCATTTCAATAGAATAATACTGCTGAATTTCATATTAATAACTCTATTGAACTCATTAACAATTCTTTATGCATATGTATTGTATAAAGCAGAATTGCTCATGCTCTCTAGCATTGCTAAACAATAACTACCTTCACTTGAGAATTAAGAGATACAATGATATTCATTTTGTCGTTTGCCGAAGAATAGACTGAGTAGTCTCCTTTTAACCGCTTGCTGTCAAAAGTCTCCTTTTGACCGCTTGCTGTCAGAAGAAGTTTTGTATTTTACTAAAATAAAGTTTTCTATGTAACTAATCAGATCTACACATAAATACTCGATGGGTTTTCCCTTTTTAATGTTTCGATATCATTGCTTATTTTAGTTATTTATTGCAGCATGTCTTTGATATGCATTGACCTGTATATTACAGACAATGAAAATAATATATTCGCTCACGACTGCTGTCATGCTGGGTTATTATAAGGACAAATATTGGTTGATTTGTGTTTCGTGAGCGTCTATAGTATTCCCATTCAGTAATTAAAACCATATTAGGAGCTAAATTTGTCTCTGGCATTATAGAAATGCTTTGAAAAGATAGTTTAGCTTTACTCGTAAAGTATTTTAAATTTTGAATGTTTTCGTCCAAGATTTCGTGTGAACGATCGGAATGCTACTGTAACAGCCTCAGACATTCCACACTACATTCGATACATAAGAACTTGAAAATAGAAATCTAGCTATGTTATCGTAGATATTAATTCAAGCTTGACTTATACAAAGATACTCTTAACACATGTATACAATTAAACAATTATCTCTTGAGCTGCTAAAAGAATAAAAATTTGCGAACTTCCTTAATTGATAATGTCATAAAGAGTGCATGATTTAAAAGACACTGCAGGAAAACGTTTTTCGTCTGTCAGTACCAACTTTACCATAAAGCCTGGTTCACATATAGTTGTAATTGTTGTAATTCGATCGGTGATGAACGTTTGCAGCAATTACAACTATAAGCAAACGCGCGTTGTCATTGTTGTAATTGTTGTAATTTAATCGCAGACAAATCGAGAGCTGTTCAAGAAGTTGAACTTGTCTAACTTTTACAACATTTACAACATAAGAAATTTACACATGAACGATTATCGGTGATGGCAGTTCATCTTTACTTTCGAATTCTTGTACGATAAATGATCAAATTTGATACTAGTAAGTATAACCTGAATTACAACAACTACAACTATTTATGAATAGGTAGTGTTGTAAATCATTCGTATTGTATAAAATCAGTTGGAGTCCGAATGTATGAAATCAGTTGAAATGTATGAAATCAACTGGAATGTACAAATCAGTTGGAATGTATCGAATCAGTTGGAATGTATCAAATCAGTTGGAAGGTATCGCTGATGAAATTACAGTAATTACAATTGTATGCGAAGTACGTTTAAACAGGCGATGACGAAATTGTCTGTACTGACTCATGCTCTAACTACACCTATGCGCGTTAGATGTCATATGCTATATCTTGCCAAAAGGTTTTTTTGCTCGAATTTGTACTCACAAAGGCAAGCGGGCTAAACAGACAAGTATTTTAGTAGAGTCGTTAAATTTTACCCTAAACCAAGACGAATTTGTCGTTATATCTTCCGGAGATAATCTTTTGCTGTAGATGCAAATTTTGTATTGTTATGTGTATGTATACTTTCGTATTTACTTATCTGATGACATATTGTGTAAATGTATACGTAATATTAATCATTGAAAATGAAGAAGACTATTTATCAATCCCCTATTAGTCTGATGATGTCTTTGGAATAAAGACAAAATATTACACAATCTGTTGTCTATAACTCCTGTATGACTTTGATTATTAAGAAAACGAGATGTCTGTTTTTGGAATTTGTTTTATTTTATTTTACTTAAAATTGTCTGCTTGTCCTGGTTATTAATCCCCTATATATCTTACCAAAACATTGATTAAACAAAAAGAAACCGTTGACTAACATAGGTGGGGTTTCCTTTGAAATACGCATAAATCACTACAAAATCACAGAAACGAACTGTTGAAATTCTTAACTTATTAATGTTCAATAAAATACTTTATTATAGACAACCCTATTAAAGTCTGCCATCGAAAACTTTATATTTATTAAAAAATGTTTTATTAAATCTTACAATGCTTTCCTTAAGGTGTGTAGAGTTATGGTTATTTTGAGACACGAATGACTTCTAAATAACCACGAGAGAACTAGATGAAATATTGAAGACTAAATAATGATTACCTTTTGTTTTTTCTTCAGTCCGTTCACTTTACACTCGCAAATTTAACTATAACACTTTGTAAAATAGGTATTTTTATACAATACGTACATTGTTAGTCACGCACTCATTACTGCAAATGACGTTTTTTGCGTCATTGTTTCAATATCTCTTTGTATAGAGGGTTTTTGTAATAACGTCATCCTTGTCTGCACGGCGGAAAACGTCTATGTATGTTAAAAATCCAAATACTTTTTGCCGACAAAATGTGTTTTTAAATCATAAGCGGACTCAGCGTTTGGCAAAATAAAGTTATATAGCTCAATTCGATTTTATATTCGAAAAATACGTTCAAAAACACTATTGGTTCGGAATTTCTAATGAATATAAGTTTACCAATGCACTTGCATCTAAAATGTTTGTAAACTTGTAAATATATTGTAAAGGAGCTGCAGTAATTTATTTTTGACGTACCCCGGTCCGGCACTGTTTTTATTAATAGCAAGCTAACTTGATTAGATCTTATGACGTATATTGGCTTATGTTAGAGTTACTGCAAATTAATTATCATTCAGTATTGCATGAGATCAGAGCTCCGCCCTACT